AACATGATTAATTGAAAGCTTATTCCTTTCAATTAAGTTTCTTCACTCTCCACTCGATAACATCAACTTCATTCTATCCAATTAGAAAGAAAAAAGTAGACATGTCTCCACAAACATAAATAAGATTAGTTGTTTAGAATATTCAATATATCGAGAAAATTAATTATATGGGTGTGGGCGGGTACCCATAGGCCGGGTTTACCCGATGAATAGTGAACGGGTTTAAACCCAAAACCCGTCAACACGGATTGTACCCGCGTTGACCGGGTTGGGTCGGGTGGGTGCCCTTGAATTCGGGTTTTGTTGCCATCCCTAGTTGAGGGAGTCATCTTCATATATATGATTTTCGGTGTTTGAATAATGATCATATTTCGATTCATTTTTGTTTGATTTTATCTTTCGTCTGATAGTACAACAAAGATGAACAGGACGTGATCGATCTGTTACGTTCTATTTTTATTTGATTTTGTCTGATTGTGTACGGTATTGTTCTCTTAATATACACGTATTGTGAATTCCGTTAAGTCGTATTTTCATTCTGGTATGTAATTCCTGCAACTGAAATTTTTCTATCTCTCAAATGATCTGACCTTATTGATAATGTCTTAACTCATGTACCTGAACGAAACCTACCGCAAACGCATATTGTAAACCGAGTTGTTTGATCCGACATGCGCGCTCTTCATTTCGCTCCGAGCCATTGTCATTCCTACCTTCTTCCTCCTAACAATTAACTCAGATTTTGTTAGGCGGCGGAATTACGTACGTTGATAGCAAAAGTGGCTATCGCTTCTCCTCAACTCTCAAAACCATGCAAACTTATTACATGTAAATTTGAGAAATGTAGTATCTGATAAGACTTTAGTCTGTTCGTTGGATTTAGTTCTCTGAGTATATATATTTAACCCTTTCTCTTCAAATTCTCGTTCAAATTTATGGTTCCACTACAAATTTTGTTTGCGGTGTTAGCTAAAGCTAGGGTTTGGAGTGGGGAATATAATGGTTAGAAAAGCGACAAAAGAAGACAGTAGCGGTTGGTTGGATTGGTGGGTGGATGGAATGTAGTGGGCGGGCGGTTTATTAATTGAAAAAAGAAATCCCCCAACATAGGCATTTCCTGTGCATCAAGAGACCTTTTACTGTACATCGTGACCCATTTGTACTGTTTCAACTCGATAGGGATTTGGGTGTGGGTGGCCATTTGGTGAGGGCTCATTGGAAACGAATGGAACTGGGTGGGTCAGTTGCGTTTTTACGATAGTTTTCTTTCTGGTTACAATTACTTTACGTCCCCTCTCACGCGTTGATCGCTCGGCGGATTCTCTCACCTTGGGGTTGGCAAAGTTGGGAAGCCCGCCGTTGCCCGTTGGTTGCTGTGCCCTTTTCTCCACCACATATTCCACCTAACTCAGCCCGGTTGCCAAGAGAGAAAGTGGGTCAAATCAAGATAAGGGAGAGAGTGCAGATTGTGTAAATCAAAGATGATAATTTAGAACTCTCTTCACTCCTCTATCATATCTACTTCTCGCTCTCTCTTTCTCCCTCTCCTATCTATGCTGCTTTTCCTGGTCTCTCTTCTTAGGATATGGGCGGATTTGAAAGCGATCAAGAGGCGGTTTTGAGAGTTCCGGTAAGGATCCGGGTAAGATCCAGGCAAGCTGGTTCTGTCTTTGATTTCAGGTGATTTAGCCTCTCCCTGATTTATCCTCTTCACTCTTTTGTTCATCTTCCAGACCTGTCGAGTTCTTTTAGAGGAGATCCGGGAGGGCAATTCAGCGACGACATCTAGGGGTGTTTACAGATTAGAAAATACTATGGTTCATTTAGCTTTTCCCAACCTATGGCATTCGGTTTGAAGCATTGTGATTTCGGCTGTTAAAATCGAACTCCTACAGAAGATTGACAAGATGGGGAACCCATTTTTTGCTACCGCTCCGTTATCTACAAGAGGAAGGCGCACACTGGTCGATGGATCTGCATGTTTCAAGGGAAAATTCTGATTCTTCAGGTGGTTGCTCTCTCTCCCTTGCTCTATCTATCATGGGCTTGGTCTCTTCCCCTCCTCTCCTCTCCTCGCTGAGTTTGTTTCGTCTTTTTCTTAAAATGATTTATTTGATATAATTTGTGAACTGATGTCAAGTCGGTGGGGACTCTTTCTTTGGCGCCGATGCAGACGTTGAAGACTAATTGATTTCCGGCGTGTGTTGAAGCTGCCATGGTGATATTAAAAGTCAACAAATTGGGAAGAGCCCAAGGTAGATATTTAATGGTGAGGTATGTAGTGGTCGCTTTTTCTTGAGCATCTTCGATTCTCATATATGAATATTATTCTTATATATCCTCTCTGCCGAATTGTTGCAGTAGCCTTTTTTTGGAAGCAAATGTTTGGGTTTGGTATGATCTTTCCTAATCCTACAACATCGCCACCATTTTTCCAGACGCCAAAGTTCAGGCACACCATTTGGTACTTCTGACTTTTACCCTGTGTGTTTTGCCTTCCAAATGTCATGTATATACTCCGATGATTTCTTTTCCGAATTGGTTCCGATTCCGATTTCTTAATTTCTTTTTGTTATGTGATATTTGTTTGGTTGTGTGTACGCATGATGGTGGTGGTGATGTGACCCTTCTCGGAATCATTTTCTAAGCTGCTTTGATGGTTTCATGTGATTTGTCATTATTCCTCCGAAGCTTTGGTCATTGGATTCGCTGATAATGGTGTGATTACTAATTGCCTATTTCTTCTCATTTTGTCTGTAGATTATGCATTCTTATGTTTAAATGGTAAGCTGCGGATTGAGGGCGAGGGATTTTTCTCTATTAGCTTTACTGTCCATGTTATTTTTCCCTTTTAAAGTTGCTGGTCTTATTTTCTTTACAAATAAATTTGCTAGGTTGTGGATAGGTGGTTAGGGAACTTCATTTTGTGATTGGTATAGTGCCACTGCCACTGATCCACTATGATATTACCTGTGTTCTGAATGTAAGTGTCTACTTGAGTGTTTGAACATATTAGTGTCATCTCATTTAGTTTGTAACAATCCTTACCTTTTCTTCTCTGAGAATACTAATGAGTAATGAGCAACAATTGAAGTTCTGTTCCTTTCTGTTATCTACTTATCTTATATGCAGGTGTCTGAAGATAGGTTTGGTTATTAAATGGTCAAACCAGTTGCACAATATGTACGAGTGGGTTACATCCCCCCACGAGATTTTCCAGATTTGTCTGGAATTGGTTTTGTAACAGAAGTTCTTCAATAAAAAATTTAGTATTATTTAATGTGAACAATTGTATATGGATTTTGTCTGTACTGTATTTCTGCTTTACATATTAAACCACAGTTTGTAAATAGTCTAAAAGATTTTAAAATTTCTCAGAGGCCCTCTGATATCTTATAAGTTGTGATTTGGTATTTTCTTCATTTGATCACGACACATCTGATAGAACCTGATGCTGCTCATTTTTTTCAGCACAATCCAACAACTGTATACCATTGTGTAAATCCTCTTCTCCGTGGCTTCCTTGAGATTTTAAACTGATAATTTAAACCATCAGTGCTAAACCAACATTAAGTCAGTCATATCATGATATATATCTCTTGAAACACAAAATGATCCAATTATATAATTCTGGTAGGCCTCAAATCCCGGTGCGGAGCGCGGGCAATAAGACTAGTTAAGTAGAAAGAGAGAGACAAAGGAATGTGGTGATGGAATAAATTTATTAGAGCTAGGGTTATGATAAACAGGGATCAATTTTAATTAATATTACATTGAGGACACAATTTCACGTGATTGGGGTCAATTTGCTAGTTATATTATAGCAAAAAATATTAAGGTCACAATTTCACGTGATTGGGAACAATTTGCTAGTTTTATTATAGAAAAAATAGCATGAACGACATCTTCGGTCAATCCCGGTCAAGGGTTTATATTAGGATGGATCTCTATTTCCAGAATCGGGTGGGATGGTGAATTGAAAAAAGCTAGTGATTTAAAAACATGTCACCCGCTAATATAATAGTTTGTGAACTATAATATATTAAATATATGATACACAAGTTTAATAAGAACTTATATCTACCGATGAATAATTTCGAATCCATATCATCCATCACCAAAAGTTATAACAAATCATTCGAACGGTCACATAAAAGAAATCATACAAAATTATTGAATTCGGATTAGTAATTAGGGTGACAACCGATAATGGATAATGGAAAGCCGACAAGGAGGCTGGGAAATAAAAAAAAGTAGCAATAAAATTAGTAATTCAAGTTGGATGGTTTTATCTTACGTTAAAATTTACTTCTTAGTTTTTTTGTTTGGTAAAAACAGTAAACTTGTGGACCATCCTAACCAAGGTGGTTCACTTGGTTTTCACGTCAAACTATTAAAAATTCGGTCCATCCTAACCGTTCAAATAAATGAGCCAAACTGCTATAATAACCGGTTTGGCCGTTCTATTGGTTAAGCCGTTGATATGCAGGTTCTTATAGCTAGCAAGGGTTTACTCATTTCAAATTGTGAGCTACGAACTCATAATAGTTAAAACCTAGTCTAACATTGTACTGGGTCAGCTGCTTGAAATGCAATTCAATTACAGCTAGGTCAATACGAGTAGTTGTCGAGACAAATTGGTTTCGACGACAATGGTATCAAATGAATCTTTGAATCCACAATTCTTCATATTGATCATTAGTTCATCAATCACAAAGTTACATGAACCCGGTGCAAACTTCAAATCATACATACTTTCGCTCACAAATTAGATATGTGTACAAGTACAACAACGATATAAGATTCAATCTTGACCTCCCGCGGAATTCCTTCCTAGTCTAACAACTTGAGTAATTCATACCATTTGTATAGCATGAACACACATGAGTTCACATCTCGATGTATGTACACATGAACAAGCATGGGATAGGATTGGAAGACATAAAAGTTGATAAAAGTAACGGTATATAGCTGCAGTCACATGGCAGAGATGAATCTTCGAGAGGTTCAAGAAAGTAAAAGAGAGACAGACAACCAACGAGTCTTCAAACACTGGACATGAAATTGGGTGGACTGAACAGTGAACACAGCGAGATTCCCCGGCCAGCAGCAGCATCAAGCAACGTGACGAGACACGACCAACATTCCCTTACCTGTTTTGTGTGTAGAGAGAGAGAGAGAGAGAGAGAGAGAGAGAGAGAGAGAGGGAATCCCTATACACAAAGCAAATCCCACTTTCTGTAGATTAATTAGCATGTGGTGGTAATACTTATAATATTACTCTCTCGATATACTATCATATCTTCTGCAAATTGTTTAGAGAGAGAGAGAGAGAGGGAAATGGACGGTGGCGATAGAGCAGTGGTGGTGAAGCTTTTAACAGCCCAGCAAAGCCAGCAAAGACTTGGATCAGAGAAAGGAGGGGAATGTGAACATTCCAAGAAGAAAACGACAACTCACTAGGCCATGGGGTCTGTCTTTCTGGCCAGCGGGGTGGGTGGTTTGAAAATTTGGAAATATAAATCCGGTACTTATGAATACTCGATAAATTTATAGGAGAATTCAATCGCATTTACAGTGCTTTGTGGGTGGCCACCAAAAGGGTAACGCAGAAATGGCTTCCAGGGTTGGATTACCTTCTTTCAATTATATATTCATATGTTCCATCAAAACGAATTTCAAGAGAAAAATTGATGAGCGAGTTAAATTGATGGGTATAGGGATTGACTCTGTGTGATCTCAGTTGTTAGAATTCGAATATAGAGGTAACTTTTATAAATAATGTCATCATATTTCAGCTAATTAACGAGCGGGATCGTTAGATGTAACGATGAAACACTATCAACTCGTCAGTTTTCTCTTCGTTGGAAGTGATACATGGAAAACTACTTGCATAATGAGCTAGCGAATAATTATGTCTCACATATGACTTAGCAATTTGTTCTTTGATCGTGGTAGTAGTTTCATGCACTCTTTTTATTTATTTATTTGAGTTAATCATCATCATGAAAATGAGTCTTACATTTTTGTTCGTATTTTGGATCTCATACTGCTTCTTAACTTAAATAAGCATGGTTGTATCTCGTCGTACCCATTATTGCAAGTTAGACACAACTAGTGAAGAAATTTTGTTTCTTCCTCTTGACAATAATAATGAATCGTTCGATAACATTGAATTTAAGAGAGATTATATTTTTCAAACAATTTAATTTCATGATTCTTTTTACATAAATGAAATGTACTTTCATCGCATTCTATTCGAGGCCTTGGCTTGGCCACATATGATGAACAAAGTATTGCTCTGTCTCTATTAGGGTTTTACCGACCTCGAATTTCCGACAACCGTTTTGATGGTTTACCCCATGAAACTTAGGGTTGGATTCATGTGATAATCCAATTAGGTTACTTTAAGACAAAATGTATCTCAGATAATTAGATTTCTTTTATGAATATCGATTTTTTCTCGTTTAGTTATCCTAAGGTAAACCGGAGTTAAAAAAGGCTTTTATTATCCTGATATTAGATTAAAATAAGGTTATATTCTTAAGTGAAAACTGAAGGTTAAAGCTGGAAAATGCAAAAGAAGCATTAGTTGAATGTGGAGGGAACAAACCAACGGATTTTGTAGTCTTTCAAGGGATCTTCCTACCATCCCCCACCATCATTATTCCTGCCCTAATTCGCAGCCCTAATTAATTACCTCAGTCGATTGCTTTTTTTAAAACAATTAATTAACTCTTAACCCTTACCAAATGAATTGTTTAATATTTTCAATTTTCAACACTCGAGATCTTGTTGCTTACATTAAAAGCAGCGCCCTTCGTCGTGGCCGATGTTTCCCCAGATTCAATGTCATCGTGTTGGAATAATTGTCTCTCAAGGTTGAAACAAATTAACTAAAATCATTAAAACACCTTAATTCGTATTTACTTGGTCAAGGTGCATGTCTGCTACATACAGACTGTTCAGTCTCACTTTCACGTACTCCCAAATAACGCTAACGGGTAGTTGAGAGAGATCTGCCAGCGCGTTAGATATAAATCAATCGATTACATACGAAAATTTATCGTCTAACAAAATTTATCTTGCAACTAATATCCTACTGCTTTGTTGCAAGATTGTGACTCTAGGTCATGAGGGACGAAATAAATGTTTACTGTACTTAGAAAACTTTGTAAATTATACAGAATGCATGCAATCGATGAATACTTCGAACCTTGAAATTCGTTCATTTGATGTGGTTTGAAATCTTAACAAAATATCGTCCGATGAAATTTAATTTCGAAAGAGAGTGTTGCTGAAGGGTTTCCGATATAAACTGACAACCACCCATCCGATCCGATCCGTTTGTGGGGGTGTGAACGACGACACATGCAGTAATCAGCGACGAAACATTATTGGCCACGGAATCAACGAGCGATTCGGACGGTGAAGGTGTTTGATGATAAGAAAGGACTACCAGACAGTACTCTCCAGTACACGCAAGATGCAAAAATGGGAAATCAATTTGCACGATTTTGGTCTACATTACTACAACACCACAAAGTGGTGGCGGATGGATATATATGGGATCGTGAGTGGAGTTGTGGGGCGCAGGGTCCTACAATATTGCTGATACAAACCCTTCCCTAGGCCATGCCTGCCCTAAAAACAAAGAGGGGGAAAAAAAAAAAAGATAGTTACGATTATTAGAAACAATGATGTCGCCGATCGTTCAATCTTTGTGCCATTGGGATATATCGATCGATCCCACTAAAGGGTGTGGTGTATAAATATGTAAAGCTATAGTTTTGCCCAACACATAACATTGATAGGAACCCAACAAGCACGTTGGTCTGGCCAACTCTGCACCCCATAGGAACAAAAAAGCCAATGGCAAATTGAGAGGGTAAGAGGGACCATCAACTGTTAACATATATGATATATCCCTCAATAAGCCAAAGCCAACAACCCATTTGCGTGTCACATATCCAGCCACCAGCCACTATCGGAGGAAATTATATCATAAAATGGGGTTCTCAAGAGTCGGCCGGGAGGCAAAACCCTGATATGCGTAATCTTATAAAATCTCATCGTTGTCGTACCACATCGTATTGTCAATATCGTAACATATCATGCATGTCCATAGCTAGTGTACCACCTATGTACAACATTGTATACCACCAGCATACCTGATCATCGTAGAACCATATTAAAAGAGTTACGTAAACCTATTATATAAGGTATAAAGAGACCGTGTTAACTTCACGTTCAAAGGAACGAGTTGAGCTGGTCACTTGGAAAATGAGATTCAAACGACTCAATGTACATAGTTCAACTAATGATCCAACAAGCAAGCTCATTGAAGGTTGAACATATACTCTTATGTTATGTTTACGTTGTTGCGGTTGTCGTACCCTCCAACTGCGATATCTTCATTCATATCTATCGCGCGCGAAACAACAAAGAATATATATGGGTCTCCATAACCTATCCTTAGGTTTTGCACCATATTGATCGATTGATCGGACGAATAACAAAGAATCCTATAAATTATTTTGGAAAATGAAACTGAAGACACTTTTGATATTTAAGAGAGAGTCTCGAAGGCCAAACTGCTGTAACTGTCAGCCAGCCCGGCCGGCTGTTCATACATACTACATAGATACAAAAAATCCATGCATGGACAAATCGATGGAGATCTCTCTTGTTCTCGTCTCCAACCCAATTTTGGAACCATTCTTTTTTTCCAAACCTCCCACTTCCATTATATGCCGACAACAACCAGCAGCAGCATGCTAGTCCCCGCAAGGTCACGTCGATCGAGAGAAGAGGAAACTGGGCCTGCAGCTTGCTGGGCCGCTGGCCTGTCTGTTTCCTTCTTTTGTTGTTGTTTGTTCATATGATGTTGATGGTGGCGCTATAGTGTTATGATAGCAGCAAAATGGTGAGGAGGAGGATCAGCAGCTGGTGTAACGCAAGGAATCGTATATGTCTCTAGATTTGCCTTGTCCACCTACCTAAATTTATGTGGCAGCTATCAACCTTAGTGTGCATGCATCGTATGTACGTATTTGTGTGTACTTAAGTAGGTTAAATCCTTGGATCATATACGTCACTAATTGAAATCAAACCAAACCACAATAAGTTATCCTTACTCGTCTGGTACTCATTTTTGAAAACAGCTCGATTCGTTGCTTGAATTTGATACGTCGTTTAACCATCATTGACATTAGATTTATACTCCGACATGGATTAATCTTGGTAGCTAGTAGTTAGATCGGGTGCAAAACCCTAATTAACATATATCTCGTATACTCTTGGTTTCCGCTTACTGTGCTTGGATGATGTTCCACTCGGAAAATTTCGTTTTCCCTTTTTTCGTAATGAAATAAAACGGATTAATAGTTGAATACCACATTTATGATAAATTCAATGCAATTTGAATAAAAAGAGTATATATTGACTACCACTTACAATAAAATTTGATAGTCGTAAATAGATAAAAATTGTTATTTTTTTTTATGTTCCCATGATTTTAGTGGTCATCTCATCTTTTCTTAATGACGAACCTCGATCCAGAACGCATATGGTGGACTAATTAATAGCAGCCTAACACTATCTACGTACTTACGAGCAACTAAATTTGTCTTCTTTATAATTAGTGGGTTGATTGGCTAAGTTGGAATCAATCCTTACAGAAAGCTAAATACTTAAAAAAAAGACCCCAAAAATACGAGCTATAGGGTTTGCTAGTGATGACAATTTCAACCCGTTCCGCGGGTATTACCCGCCCTGACCCGTGATGGACGGGTATTACCCGACCTGCAGTAGCGTGGGGCGGGGCATGGGTATCTACTTCCGATCCGTCCCGCCCCATTCTAGACCCATTTATCACAATTTCTTATAGTATCTATACATATTTCTCTTATTTTGACTTTTCTCCAACTAGTTAGAGTTGATCTTTCAATTTGTTAGACTCAATTACCCATTCTATTATCACTATTTTTCATTCATAAAGTGTTTTCCCTTTCGTTTTATCTTAAAAAGTATAATTTGCGTGTATTTTTTTCAAATAACATGTAAGAGTGAATCGACCCGCCCCGCCCTGTAATAGCGTGGGGTGGGACATGGAAATTGAGGTACCAGCTCCGCCCCATTGCTATCACTAGGGTTTGCCTGTCCTTTCCATATGACTGACCCTTCTGCATGGTAACATAGGCCACAGAGTAAATCGATAGTGGAGGGGAAGTAGTAGTGGCTGAAGATCGAGACAGTACTATTACAATTTCACTGGACGACATTGGTCAAACCTTGGAATGGGAACTTATAAACTAAAGAAAGAAACCCAAGAAAAAGGGATAGAAAGGAAGGTAAAGGGCAAAGCACCCAGAATGTGCAATGGGGAAAATTCATTCCTTTTGGTCTTACCAATTCTATTCTACCACCAATTGTCTGTTTGTTAATAATTCTGTGTTAAATGGAAACGCAAGTCCAATTGCTTGTTGTTTTTGGGCTAGTTAACACATATGGTTTGGAATTATTTTTCCCGCTTTTGTCTGGACTGTGTTTTCGTATAAATGGAAGTGTTTTTAGGTGGAATTAATAATGCTGTGCATGGGGCCTCTATAGCTAGGGATTTTTTTTTTTGTGGAGGAGGGAATTTTGCTTTGTATTTTATATCCTTTAGATTGCCCTAGCTACCACATGAAAAATTTTCAAGGTTAGAGAAAATAATGAATTAAGGGGACAAGAGACCAAATGGAAAGATCCAAATTGTTGGTGTGCGGTGGAAATTCTTGATTACACGGCCAAGCAAAGCAAATCCACAAGACGCATCTCCAGATTTCCTCGACGATCGATTGTTAATTTCATCAACTCTTTTGTATTTTCCACGTTTACATATATAGTTGAATGTCTAAGTTCACTTCATGAGATTAGACATGACTATAAACTGATGACTGATCTATGTAATAAAATAATAATAATAAAAATATGAAGGAGATGTGGTTACGTGGTAAGTAGCGGGCGCATGATTTTTTTTAGCGGTGTTGATATGATTTGAATTGAATTATCAACTGTCGGCGGGAAATCATTATATATCTTTTTATTATTTATTTGTAATCTGTAATTTTCTCAAGTATAGTGAAGGTGGCTCTATCCCGCCCGTTCGTAGACTAACTAACATATATTGTGTTAGTGAACCACGTGAATCTGTATGTTCTATATTTTATTCGCTATCTTTGTCTTTCTTACATTGTCGATCGATTACCCCAGTCCGTAGGTGTATCAGTCCACCTCCCATCAATTATTGGAGATTAACTATTTACCCATGAAATCATAGTTGAATATATTGACCGCCATAATGTGACTGATTGTTGTAGTAATTAAAAATCTTGAATTTCACTACATATATATGTTTAGAATTGCAGAAGTAATCATGCATCTTATTATTAAAATCATTATTAATATTTAGTTCTAGACACATTGTGAAACCAACCGAGCGAGAAGCATTAAGCGCCACCGATGGAAGGTTTTTGGCTTATAATATTCATGCTAGAATGATTGAATTAGTTTATTAATCAAGTTGATGAGCATTAAGAGATTCGTAGAAATCCATTCATTCAAGAGCCCACACCCATAGAGAATCATATATTAACGTGTTGCTTACTCTATCTAAAAACTCAGTATTAATCATTATAATTTTTAATTAACATTCGTTGTTGTGTAGTTGTCGTCCACACCCCGATTATATTAACTAATAAAAACAGAAACAAAAATGATGATGACAGAGTTTTAATTAATTAGTTCATTAGTATGTCGTTTTGGGTGGAAGTGTGTTGGAGGGTTTATTCGTTCTTCCCAACTACTTAACTTGTAATTTAGTGCACCTTAATTACTCTATTTGATTTTTTTTTTTTTTTTGTCATAGAAATCCTCGCGGATTAACCAGATAAGCGTGTGGGGTCACAGCAATTACAACCCTACACGGACTCAAGACAGACCATATAAGAATAATCAAATAATACATTACAAATACCAGGATAGCGAAGGGCATTACGTGCCACAATATGGGCAGCCCGGTTCACTTCTCGAGGTGTGAAGGCCAAAGTAACCAAAGGTAGACTGTGGAGAAGAGATAACACTTCACGATATATTGCGCCGCACCGAACATCACGAGGATTATTATTCTGTAACCGCTCCAATACCGCTTGTGCATCCCCAGTAATCTGAACAGGTTGATCATACCACCCAACGGGAAAGGAGTAGTAAAGCATACCGGATCGCCAATAATTCCACAGTTGAAGCATCAATTATCCCTGGTAGAGCACACCCAAATCCAAACGTAGCCTGACCGCCATGAAAGCCAACAATACCAACCGCACCATGAGTGGGAGATGATGTCGCACCGTCCACAGCAATCCGAAATCCGGAACTCAATTGTGGAGCACGTAGTCGGCGAGGTGGTGGTGCCTGGGCGAGAAATGGAGACTGGATGGCAATTTGATGATCAGCCTGGTGTGACAGTAATTGACGATGAAGGCAGGCGATGGAAAACTGGGCGTGGGGGAGGAAGACAACATTGTTGCGACTTTTCCATAGTCGCCAAAATAATAGTACCCAAGAACTAATAGAGGTGATATCCGCATTGAATATGAGATATCGCCAAAACAATGAAAGATTAGTGGTGAGAAGGAGACCAGGAGGCAAATCGAGCCCTACCAAATTACGCAAAGCAACGGCCACCGGACAGCGAAGAAATAAATGCTCGACTGATTCACCTTCTGTGGACTCACAAATTGGGCATAATTCTTCAACTTGTACTCCATGGCGATTCAGGTCTTCCCTGACAGGCAGAATGCGCAAAATAATACGCCAGAGAAAAAATTTGAGCTTAGGGGAAAGGGGAAGCCCCCATAACTTCGGCCATAATTTTTGATCGACTGGGGAGGCCGAAGAAACTTTTGCCGCTTTTGGAGGCGGTCGCGCAGCCATAGCCAGGCGGTAAGCAGATTTGACGGAGAACAGGCCATCGGATTGATAATGCCAAACGTAACGGTCAAGACCCGGGGTCAGAGGAATCGGAATATTTAGGATCGCAGAAACTGATTCATTAGTAAAAAATTGATGCAAACGGTGAATATTCCAAGTCCCTGAAAGAGGAGAAATAAAGTAAGAGACAAAACGAGAGGAATCAATTGATGATGATAACAAACATGGTTTGAAAGACGCCAAAGAGGGGACCCAAGGATCTCTCATCGCATCAATGGAGGTGCCAGAACTAACTTCCCACCGCAAGCCTTTAACAAGCAAGTCTCGACCATGTAGCAAGGATTGCCACGCCCAAGAAGAATTAGAACCAGGTTGAGCACTGAGAAAAGAAGTCTGGTGGAAATGACGACCTTTAAGTACCCTAGCAACCAAAGAATCCGGCTCCGTCAGAATACGCCAACACTGTTTTGCAAGCAGAGCCTGATTAAAAGCTTCAAAATCCCGGAAGCCCAGTCCCCCTTCAGACTTAGGCATACACAGATTTCGCCACGAGACCCAAGATAGACGGCGTTCAGTACCCTGTTGACCCCACCAAAACCGCGCAATCATGCGATTGAGAGACCTACATAACCCTTTCGGTAGCCAAAAGCAGGACATAGCATATACCGGCAAAGCAGAGATCACAGACTTGATCAATGTCTCAAGACCAGCGGGAGACAAGCAGCGTCGTTTCCATCCTTGTAACTTTTTGGACACAGCATCCTCAATGAAACGAAAAGTACTTCTTTTAGACCGATGAATTAAGGATGGGAGTCCGAGGTATTTATCCTTAGCCCCAATCGCACCAACCCTCAACAAAGCCCCACTCTATTTGATTAAATCTAATACAAGGATGTCTAAGTTATATCGAAATTAATCCGATTTAATCGAGACTAATGCGTCCAGCGCGCCACAAATTTTTATGGGCGGATCCGCGAATATCTACTCAGGCCAACGATTACTGCAAAACGCTCATGTTCAAATTTTGGCCCACTAGATTAGTTTGGGCTGCCCACCAACTACGTACTCTTTTTAAGCCGAATTACTCTGCTCGAGTCTTCTTTAGCTGCGCTTTGATCGTTATTTTCCGTTCTGTCTAAAAACTACAAAAATTTAAGGTCAATACACCTTTTGATCTTTATATCATACAAGATTTACAAACGAGTCCCCAAACTGTAAGTTTACGATTCGGTTAGACCGTATCAGAACTTCCGTCTAATCTCCGTTGACTGTGGGAAATCTCTATAAACTCAGCTACAGTGTAAAATCCGATGACGTAAAAATGCCACCCCTGTTTGGTTGGTCGTTACATCAGAGTACATGGGACAATGCCAGTCCCATTGATTCATTCATCTTAATCGTAACAACGAGATCGAACATCGTTTCTAACGAAATGTGATTCATGTGAGATCTCCAAGTGCTCACAGCTTGCTGAGAAAAATGGTCCTATTTGTACTGTTGCTGCTGCTTCCCACCACACCAAGCTGAGTTGCAGCAGCTGGACTTCTGGAAACCTTGTCCCTTTCCGCTAGGAATTCAGCGAACTGCGAACCCTTTTTTGATTTCTTTAATGACTCCTGAATGGTGTCCAGGGGCAGGGGAAGACTCGGCCCCGGTCTAGGCACCAACGACCATACTGAAGAAAGGTCCTTGTTCGATTGATCGAGCTGCTTCAGAAGCGTAATGTCCTCCATGTCTGGAGGAAGAAGAAAGTGATACCATCCGAATTCAAGTGGTGAGTCATATAGGTTCGAGGTCTATATCAATAGAGATGAGATGACTAACCTTTTGAAAACTCAAAAATCGGAGCCAGTGCTGCGCAAGGAATGCTGAAGTTGAGATGGGGTATAATTGTTCCTCTGCCATGCCTCGTGTTGCTGTTTCCAGAAATGACATCGTGAAACAAGAAAACTCAGGCAGAAAGCAAAACTAGTACAACAAATGAAATTGGGAAGGAAGGTGGATAGGAATACAATCCTCTGACTGGATATTAGATACTTGCCAACACAATTTGGACCAATGTAAAAGCAACCGTAACACGATAAAACTGCAACAAAAACTCAGCGATGCAACTCTCATATGTATACCAAGTATCAATGTGAAGCTTATGTAGTCCGAATTTCCTAATGCCAGTGATTATGTGTGTACCTGGTAACAAGTCCAATCATTTGACCATCTGAATTAACAACAGCACCGCCACTGCCGCCTGAGTGGACAGCAGCTGTGGTTTCGAGCATTGCTGGAATCTCTAAATCCTTTTCGTGAAGAACCTGATAATAGAGAGGTGCCTTTGCCCTCACTATTTTTCCTACAACGCCAGAGCAAACAGAGGGAGAAAATCCTGAAAATTCGATGCAAGTAGAATATTATCAAGATTGGTCCAGGCAAAAACATCCATCTCACTATCTCAGAATAAACCTTTAAATGTTACACCAGTGCAACTGATGCAACCCACAGGCACTCAATGGGGGAGTGTGACAATGGGACAAATAATATTCCACAGAATGTAAAATAGCAGGAAAGACATATGTACGAAGCAAAGATCATTACCACATCTCGGCCCAAATAAAGCATGCCCAATCACATAAGTCGTTGATCCCAAAGCTGGGCACAGAAGATCCACACTGATTGGGATAAGATGACCTGGTACGTTTTCAAGCTGCAAAAGGGCAACGTCCAATGGCCCTCTGCTAATATACACTACTTTCGCATCACACCAAATCCTCGGGTCAACATGATTCAACCGAACACGTATAATTCCATGATTATTGTAGGACGAACCTACTATAGCTTCTTCTGCATTAAACAACTTCCTCTTATTCTTCTGGATGACATCTTCTCCAGACAGCGGATAAGGAATAATGTCTGATCTGATTTCATTTCCTCCTCCACTAACAGTAGTTCTTCCAAATCTCGAAGGCTCCAACAAGTGTGCATTTGTGAGTACCAAGCCTTTCTCATTGAGCAGAACTCCAGATGCCCATACACCTTCGCCAATGGTGATGAGACAAATAGAAGAGATTGCCTTCTTCACTGGCACCAGTGAAGGTACATCTGAGTCATGATTGTGTACTACCCCTACAGCATTTAAGTTTCCCTTATTAATATGAGTGTCTTCATCTGCTGCATTTTCAGGCTCCTTCAGCAACCAGTCAATGCAAGCACTTTGAATCGTTTCCCACGGAGTCACCAGCTGTTTACCCAAACGCTAGATTTGTGGGATCCAGTAACAAACAGATTTCAAAAGAGGAAAGTAGTATAAGGACACATTTTCAAGTTACCTGAATTTCAGCACCAGTACTCGTTTGCCTCAATGGTCTAATCAAGATTCCAATAAAACGTCCATATTTATCAAAAACTGGGCCACCCTCAGTACCTGGAATATCAACTTCAAACTGGAGTGAGGATAGAGTGACATGTACAAAGATGAACAATAGGAAAGTCATTATAAGATAGATTCTCACCAGGTAGACAGCGGATGTCAGCCATTATCAATGATGTATTAGGTGAATGATAATGGTTGGAAATGGACCCCACTGAAACGCTGGTTCAAGGATCACAAGACAACTCAAAACCAACATATACAAGGGTACTCAGAAAAGGTATAGATGCTTCTTCTTATTAACAGTAGGCCAAAGTGAAATTATGATATTTGAAGCCCGAAATCATGCAGCAGTGCGCTTAAGGGGAACAGCCACCCTATACTCATTCCAAATTAGATACTTCAAACTGCATATCACTGCTATGTGATGGATTTTAAGCACAAATTAAGACCCTTTGACCATTAAATTCCAAAGAAATAGAAACAACAGAAATTCCTGTAACTAACAAGAACAACAATGTAGTAGCCTTCAAATTTTCCTAGCAACTATGACACTAAGACAATCCAAGTTTCAAAGCTTGGTACCTTTAGTACATAAAAGCTCCAAGTATTTCATCAACTGAAAATGGAAACAATAAACAGCAAAGCAAGCAAAACAGACCTGTTAAAGAAATGCATTGGTGACACGATACCAAAAGGGGAACCCACGGCAAAAATGAAGTCTCCTTTTTTCGTCAATGCTGCTACAGGAACCTTAGGAAGATTCTGGAGGAAAATATGATATGCAGATATAGATAAGCTGAAGTCATACAATGGGGGGAAAACAGACAATGTATCCATCGATAACTCACAACCAGGTGACTTATTTACCTTCAGATGCAGGGGGATCCCAAGAACAGCAAGTCTGGTAATCGACCTACTCATAATAGAAGGATCCCTAGATTCCTCGGTTTCTAAATGGCCTTCAAGCGTAGATGAGTTCAGAGATTCCCCATAAGACTTAGGAGCGTTACCATTAGCTGCAAGGGACCAACCAGCCTCCCATCCATGGTGTGCTGAGTCTGGAGAAGCTTCAATGAGCGATTGGAGGGAAAATGAAGAGGCTGGAACATCAACCTTCACAATAAACCGTTCAGCAACTGTAGAACATCCCCATTCATGCAACACGAATTGAGTAAAGAATATACACCCACAACAGGTACAAAGGAGTCACAATTCAATGATTGCTGCAATTACATAGTTCACAATCAAGCGGCAAACAAGATCAAATGCTTACCAATCTCAAAAGTTTTGCAGAGATCCAATGAGAATTTCCATTTTCAACCGCCTCCACACTTTCTTCCAACTCCAACATACCCTGAGGATTACTAGCAATCTATCAATCCCACTATCCAATTCATACAAACAACTTATTGCAATAAGCAGCATCTCAATCTCACATACCTCTAACATAACATGGATTTTAGCTGCAGGAATCAGATCAGGTAAGCCCTGTTCAACACAATGAGACCCAAAACCTGACATTAGAACCAACTGATCTTCCTAACCGTAAGACCAAATACAATCACGTATCTCCGCAAAATCACAGTGAATTCAACCTGAGGAGTACTTTGCCTATGGTGTGCCGCCACAAAAGGCTCCACGACAGAAGCGACGGTGAGAAGCAGACCTAAGCCCCGACTATCGGAGCCCGGCAGAATCCGGCTGACCGCGTGAGCGTCGTAAAAGCCTTCCGGCAACAGCACAGCCGAAGCCGAAAGCGTAGTTTTACCAGAACTACACATTCCAGGGAAATGAATGACACTCCGTGAGAACATAGAGAACCGAAAAGGCCGAATATGCAAACAACAGAAACTACTTCATGAAGCATTTAACAGCTCACTTGTAAAGGTGAAAAGCATGGTTTCGCATCTTCCGCCCGTGAGGATCCTAAAGAAGATCCAAGAAAGAAGGAAAGGGCATGAATTGAAGGCAGCTACGTCTTCATCGGGAAACTATCACTAAGAGGGAAGGAAGAAGCAGCAACTTACAGGTCCAGAGACTCTGACCATGGCGGCCAACCTCCGCACGGAATCGACAATTTCCGGTAAGTTCATGACTGCCGGCAAGCCGAAAATGACACTGAGAAGAACAAGAAAATCGGGAGAGTTCAAGGCAACTCGCGGCGGCAATGATTGTCCGGAAGCGGATGTGGTGGATGACTTTCAGTTACTGAAAGACGAATTTCGAGGCAACGGCGTCAGCGCAGAACAACGCCGCTTAGCCTCGACGGAATCGCGACGGCCGCCGGGGAAATTAAGCAGGACCGGGAATCAGAGACGCCGATCTTGAGTAAACCGGCCGCCCGCCGCATCGATCATTTGGAGAAGACCACTCGTCTCCCGCAAAATCGGACAGAGAAACATTTCCGCGGTCTTTCGAGCACCGCTGCCGAAGCGAGGAATCCAATTCATTTCGAAGTCTGGGGGTAAATGAGCAGCCAATAACATGGCCACACGTGGATTGTGAGAGTATCTCAGTATCATCAAGAGGCTCTGTATGTTTCAGGCCAATGGTACAGTACTACAGAAGCATTGGAAGGCTCACGAACGCTAGCCTTCACAGGCTTTATCTTTCAAGCCCATTAAGGTTAACCGGTTCAATGTGTAAGCCCACGTACAGGCTCAGCACTCAAGCCCAAGAAAGCAAAAAACGATTTGGCACAAAGAGGCTAGAGCGATAATGGCTCTTCTATTTACTAGCACCGGGCCCGGCCCCTTGGCCGGGAAAGTCTAGACAAAAAATATGTTCATATAACATGCTTACAATATAATAGGAAGATACGACATATCATTGAAAAAAGAAATATAATTGTTCAAAGAAGAAAAGAAAAACATACAAAATAATAGGTTTTCAATACTTAAAAATGGCAAATAGTTCAAGATTAGAGTTGTTTTTCCTAGAACATACATAATGAACCCTCAGAAAGAAAGAAAAAGATTGGTCTCTAACATATTTTAGGAATGAGATCATTTGTAACCCTAATTAATGTCTAACAGATACACCCATATTATTCCTCTTCATAGAAAGTAGAATAAGGATCAGCTGGTTTGGAAGCATGCTAGTCGTAGTCCCCGAAGATGCCTAAAAAATAGTCCGGGTTCTCAAGAGAGCTTCAAACTTAAGGCTGAGTGCAACTAATTTTGAATTACATATGTTTGTCTTTGTCAGTGTTGCTGATACTTTCACTGACTACTTTGATTGGTAAGTTGACCATAAATAATAGGGATATACCTTATTTTGACCTTGAAGTTTGTCGTAAAAGCCAAACTTGACATGAACTTGCAAATAAGACAATTTTCAAAATTTTGAAAGAAATGGACAAATTTGGACTGAAATTTATGTTGTTCGTTAATATTAAAAGTTAAAAATTTCTTCATCCATTCAACATACAATGCTCAGGTGGTTGCGATTGCGATGTGGCTTCCATGTCATAGGGATGATACCTTATTTTGGCATGAACTTGATGTAAAAGACAATTTTGGCTCGAATTTTCAAATAAGATAGGTTTGTTTGCACTTTGAAAGAAATGAACAAATTTGGTCCGAAATTTGGGTTGACCTTTAATATTGACAGTTGTGATAGAGAGGTTTCGGTTGCGATGTGGCTTCCAAGTCATTTATTTATAAAGTCTAAAAAAGTGAATTTTTCAGAAGAAAAAAATACCACAAAATAGGACCCTTAGTATATCCTAATATTTTCATATTTACTTGCATAAATCATATTAAAAGGAAAAAGAAATTGATTCAGGCCCCCAAAAATCCCAAAGCACGAAACTATCTCTCTTTGTACCCCTCTCATCAATATTAACGGCAACCTAAATTTTGGGTCAAAGTTATTCATTTCTTTGAAAATTCGTACAAAACTGTCTTATTTGAAAGTGTAGGGCAAAATAGCATATTATACCTATGACGTGAAAGTCACACCACAGTCACCTTAACATTGTATGTTGAGTCATAAAAAAAAGAAATGTTTGACCCTCAATATTAATAACCGACCCAAATTTCGGGTCAAATTTGTTAATTTCTTTCAAATTCGGACAAAACTATCTTATTTGAATGTTCATGCCAAAATTGTTATTTACATCAAAGTTCAACACAAAATAGGATATTATCCCTAAATAATATAGGAGTACTAAAAATATTGGACTAATGAAGTTCAAAATGTTTCAAACAACATACAACCCTGATAAAACTGCAGTCCAACCAACTAACATTTAGAACAAATGACTTTCCAGCAGGATAACACAACTATAAGTATGGGTGGTTCTATCATATTTTGATTAAGAAAATTACATAAGGAAATGATATATAGACCTTGAATGATATACTCTGAGTATGAAAATGATGTCTAGTGGCCGGAGCTAGGGACATGGTACTATACCTTAAGCCCTTACAGATTAAAATCTAGGTCTTAATTCTATGAAGCTCATATACTAAGATCAATTTTATTAGAAACAATAATCGAAGGTCGTGTTTCATCAAAATACATCAAAAAAATTATGTGCATAATCTTAGTGTTTAGGGCAAGGATTGAAAACCCTTAACGTACCGGGGGTTCGACTAAACCAGTAGGCACTATGTAGTGTTGTGAAACGACTGAATCACGGTTAACCACAGTTTTCGCATAAAATACCCTCCTGCCGACTTTTTCGGTACAACCTCTGATGAGGTTTTATAATCCTTGGTTTAGGATCTATGATTTAAATAGTTAAGACCTAGAGTTCACTCGTCAAGGGTTAGAATATAGTGTCTCGTCTCGAAATCAGGTTAATTCAAAGTCTAGATTGCCATTTCTTACCAAGGGTATGAGTTACCTTTTGATTTTACTCAAAATATGATAGAAAACACTACACACACACATACTGGTATACTACAGGAGTATAGTATACTGGTATACTCCAAGAGTATAGTATACTCCACATGATCTAGACATTAGATGTACTTTGTTGAGCTCCAATCAATCTCAATGGTCAATTATAATTTTCCATTAAATTAAACTTTGGGTTTGAGTTTAGAGAATCGGGGCCTGGGGTTTATCCATTAGAGGTTAGGGTAGAGTATCATACCCCAAACTCGGTTAAAAATCATGGTCTAGATAGAGATATCTCACGAAGAGTACCTGAAGTATAATATACTCCAGGAGTACACCAGTCTGACCCATATATATGTGGTTGTGTGTGCACATATATATTTAATATTGTAATTTGATATGCAATATTCGAATAAATGATATTTGGATTGCGGTTTTAAGATTATCCTCCATTTATAAGATAGACTACCATTATTATTGAAGTCAAAATAAAATAATAATAAATGATAATCAAAGATCCAACACTAAAAATGCTTAAGAAAGACTTAGTGGGGTAGCTAACTGTGCTGGAAAAGTCATTTGATTTTCAGAATTTTGCCTCTTGTATGTTTTTTTATAAATAAATGCAACAAATTTGTTTAGTCTTATTGGTTATGACTCTTGTCCTTGTTAGAAGAGACCCGGGTTCAAATCTTGACACTGATATTTTTTTCAAATAAAAAAATAAACAATTGCAATGACGAAAGTACCCTTCCTACTTTCACTCTCGTTGCAGAAAATTTGAAATGGAAGAAAGTTGAGTCATGAATCTCCATCATATATCTTATAGAAGATGGATGGCTTGGATCGGTTATTTAGGTGTATTACTAATAGTTCGACTTATCGTACAGTAGAACATCAATCCATTCTCATAGTGATTTAAATCTTATTCAATATTCACAAAGTTTCTTCAATACGCAACTAAGTTGGATTGGCTGTATGACTAGATGAAATTTTTGGAATCGTTGTTGCCTTGTTACATCCAAGTTTTTTCTTGTCCTTCTCGTAGCTTACCTGGCTTTTAACTTGAGATTTAAGGTTAGACGGTACCTTCAACCATCCATCAATGTAGAATTTGATGATGCGGAAGACGAAACAACACACGAGACAACGATTTTACGTGGTATCCTCGATCGATTGATTGATTGATCGAGACTAATCCACGGTGAGCTCAGAACGAGCTCACGGCTGATATTTTTTTAGGGACTACATTGTGACGGCTTGCTTACGACAGGTTCGTAGCTAAGTCTTATATAGAGATAGACTAGGGTTAAAACCCTAACGACAACCAAGTTTCCTTCTTTTACATGAACAAGGGAACAAGGGACTTGAAGGACAAGGAATTAATTACTTTTTGACTAAGTAATTAATATCTTCAACACTCCCCCTCAAGCGAAGACATGAATGACAAGAATGTCGAACTTGAAACTGAACAACACTCAAACAACCTCTTGCTGGCAATGACGACCTCTTGCTGGCAATGGCGATCCAACTGGCTGTGACTTTGTTCGCTTGCGGGAGGGTAGACAAATGATGAAACTACTCCATGCTTGACCCAGTTCTTTTGACAGTGAACTCAGCATGGTGAAACTCCTAGACGTCGTGGATGAGACTGATCCTACTTCATACTTGACCCAGTTCTTTGACAATGAACTCAGCATTGCGGAATTCCTTGACGTCTTGGATGAGATTGAAGACTGATGACTGCGTTGCTAACTTTGGAGTAGGGATGGCAAAAATATCCGTAACCGTGGATATCCACCCGAATCCGGCCTAATCGGGTAGGGTAAAACCCGAACCCGAAGGACATTTAGTGGGTATGGGTAAAACCCGAACACGAATATTGCGGGTAATGGGTGGGCATGGGTTTCTAACTATCCAACCCGAACCCGCCCGATTATACGCATGCATGTGTATTTTCTCTAGAAATAATTATTATTTTTCTCTAACATATTTTATATTTAGCATATAAATATAATATTATCATGAAATTGTGTTGTTTTAGTTAATTTTCTTCATTCTAGTGAACTATTGTCGTACTTTTCCTCTTACTAATGTGAGAATACGTGTGAATGTTAACATATTGGTTGGAGTTATGAAGAGAAATTATTATCCATGGATAACCGTGGATACCCGAAACCCGAACGGGTATGAGCATGGTTTTAATTTTCTACCCGTTTCACATATGGGTATGGGTATGGGTAAAACCCGAACTACTTTGGGTAGGGTAACGGATATGCACTATCCGTCCCCGACCCGACCCATTGCCATCCCTACTTTGGAGACTTCTACCTGCACTGCTGACTGTGCTTCCCCGAGCAACATGATTGATAGATACACGTGGTCGATTTGATTACTGAACTAGTCGACCTACATGTGTTGATTCCCTATTGGGCTAATACCACTACAACACCCGAACTATCCCGAAAAATGCCACTTGTGTCCTATTTTTTCCAATATTCCATCTATGTTCTTAACTATTATACTTTGTGCCATTTGTGTCCTGCCGATTTTGTTGACCGTTAAAGATAACGGTTGACCAAACGGTGGTCAAAGAGAAGTTGACTTTTGTTGACGTGGCAAAAATGTGGCTTCCACATAGATGCCACGTCATTGACACCTCATATTTTTAATTAAAATTAAATTAAAATTAAAAAATGTAAATTCAATAATATTATTAAGCCAAAATTTTAAATTGAACTTTTATTAATCAAAATAATTAAAAAATAAAACATAAAATCCTCATCGACCTCTTTCCCTTGTCTCTTCTCTGATCAATCTTTTGCCAAAAAAATTCTTCATACTCCTCAACTTTCTCCCCTTCCATAAGAATATCAAGCGTCTCCTACCAGCAACCCACAAATCCCGCACAGCATCCCCCGTCCCTCTCGACCTATTGAATTAAGCTTTTTAATTAGGCTTTGTAACTGACACAGAGTTCGTGTAGGGTTGTTGGAGCTGCCGGAATAGATTGGTTGTTTGGGGAATTTGAAGAGCTTGTATATCTCTGAGTTCATACTAGCGTAATCGGGTGTTGGACTTTTCCGTTCGAGTAGCAATGGTTCCTGCCGCCAATCCCGTCCAGATCCCCAAACTCAAAATTAGGGATTGCAAGCGCGCCGCCGTAAGGTCGGTTCCGCCGGGAAGCCTTCGCGCTGTCGAATGCCCCCAGGCAGAAGAGGAGTCCCGTGGGGAGCCAGAATGATAGGGCGGCGGCGTGGTCCCAGCCGCTGGTGGCAAAGCTTCACGAGAATTATCTCATGATGGGACAGGTGAGGAGATTAAAGAGCGAGGAATTGCTCGATTCGGCGGACGCCGTCGATGGCAGCAACTCATCATCCTCCACCTGCAACTCCTCGACAAAATCGGTAATCGAGATCCAGAAACTCATCATCCTCCACCTGCCACTCATCATCCTCCACCTGCAACTCCAATTGCAGGCATCACAATCTGTTGTGTTCCTATTTTGGGGGGTTTGGTTCTAGGGATTTGACTTCTCTGAGATCTGTAATCGAGATCCACCGTTCGATGTCCGAACTCTGCTCCAGTGGCCACGACCAGGAGTCCTTCGATCTCGCCAATTCACCAGATACGCGCACCATCTTCAGCTCATCATCAACCACCTCCTCCGATCCTCTCCGTCGCTTTCTGCTCCCATGGAGACCGGATGGAGAGGCATCTCCGAAGATCTCTCTGATGTTGCAGAAGCGAGTTAAGCCTATAGGAAGAAGAACAAGATCAGTGTTCTGGTCCAGTTCCTGTGCTCGTCTGTTCTGGAGCCGAGGGTTTACGGTTGCTCATCTCTTCCAGGCAACGATTCAATCTTGGAGGGGAAGAGGAGCGAACGAAGATATAGAGATTTTTTTTAGTTTTTTTATAAATATTATTTTATATAAATACAGATTAAAAAATTACACGTCAGATGCCACATCAGCGCTGACTAGATTTTCTGTTAAAAACTAACGGTCAACAAAAGTCAACACTAACGGAATCATAGTTCAGGACATAGATGGAATATTGGAAACAATAGGACACAAGTGGCATTTTCGCGATAGTTCGGGTGTTGTAGTGGTATTAGCCCTTCCCTATTCTCCCCCTCAAGTTGGAGCATGAGCAACGTGAATGCCCAACTTGAAAGTAAACAGAAACGAGAGGCAATAATATGTCTAAGAGTAAACCGGGAGAAGAATCATGCAACCTGTCCAAGCCTAGGGAATGAAAATCCCTTTCTCCTGCAATGCACAAAGCTTGACTTCCTTTTCTTGGCGGCTTTGTGACCTTGATGAGAATGACATAGCTTGAATGATAACAAGACTTCTTGACCGAACAAAAACTACTCAAGCTGAACCTTGAACATGAGACCAACAATACCACACGTTTATTGAACAAACCACCTGCTGCCTTCAACAAAACTAGGTTGTTGATGATTACTGGGACTAACAACTAAGTGCATTGAGGTGAGGATGGAAGCTTGGAAACAAAGGCTTCATTATATTCTTCGAAGGACCTTTTGTCCCCAATGATGTAGGAAGCATACAGAACTTGCCAACAAGCTTTTGTCCCCAATGATGAACCAATTGTGTTGACTACTTTGGAGAGACACGGAAGACGACCTGATTCGTGGACTTTTACTGAAGACGACGTGCAGGAGAGAGAGATCGCGAACGGCCGCGACATAAACCTTGACAGGTCGGTGATTCAGGAGCTCTCGGTGATGCTTGAATGGACCACGACCTTGATATTTTGGAAGGTCATTATTTGACAAAAATACCATCTTCGCTGGCCATGGTTTGACGGACTCGGCGGCGGATATGGGATTGACGAGCATCGCTGTGAGACAACGGCTGGGCGAGACCAAAACTTGGACAGCTTTGACCTTGAACCGATGACGTCGATGCATGCAACGGATCCGACGTAGGTAACTAAAACCCTTTGACTGGTGGACGGTTATGATGACGAATAGACGGCGGTGACGATGAGGCCACGTATGACTGAGGCGACGAACGACCGTGACTGGTCGGAGCTTGTGACTTGGCGGCAACGTCGACAGATTTCTCATCTGGACGACGACTGTGGCATCGAGCAGACTCATCTGCGAATCTCCCGATCTCTTGGATCCCGCGGCTGCCTGCCCGAAACCCCAGCCGAACAGAATTTGGACTGGACAGAGTAGCGACGTACGGTAGGAAAGCTCCGTGCGGCGAGGAGTCTTGACTGGGGATAGAGACGCGTTCGGCTCGGAATGGAACGTCCAACTTGACAACATGGATAGAGGAAAGTCGGCTGGTGGAGGAGACCTGCGAACGGAACGGAGCACCGATGCCAGATGGAGGAACCTCTTGCTGAACGAGACTGCTGGACGGCGATGATCCTTTGGACGGATCCCGAAGACAACGGTGAGGTTGGACTGATGACCTCGACTGACACGGTGACGAATCTCAAGACAAAGATCGGCAACGGAGAGGTAGACAGAAATCGAATCTAACCCTAATTCGGATCGAGTTTCGCTCTGATACCATGTAGAATTTGATGATGCGGAAGACGAAACAACACACGAGACAACGATTTTACGTGGTATCCTCGATCGATTGATTGATTGATCGAGACTAATCCACGGTGAGCTCAGAACGAGCTCACGTCTGATATTTTTTTAGGGACTACATTGTGACGGCTTGCTTACGACAGGTTCGTAGCTAAGTCTTATATAGAGATAGACTAGGGTTAAAAGTACCCTAACGACAACCAAGTTTCCTTCTTTTACATGAACAAGGAAACAAGGGACTTGAAGGACAAGGAATTAATTACTTTTTGACTAAGTAATTAATATCCTCAACAATCAATATTGTATACATATATAGAAACAATATATACGTACACGTCATAACTTGATATTCAATCACAAAGATATTTTATTTCTACCCTATCAAGTATCAACTATAATCCGCTCTTGACTTTTCAACTAAATAGTAAGCACCCAACACCCCCCCCCCCCCCCCCCCCCCCCAAAAAATTCCACCAATCAACCTTGATTAAGACGTTTACCAGCTTACATTAATTAACTCGACACAACCTATATCATTATGAGCTCCATTTAGTGATAAATTGTAATTAATTATCTCCACCAAAACCCTACACCGATCACCATCATCATGTCGCAAGGATAACTTTATTAAAATCTAGTTGATATATCCTATTATATTATAGAGATCGAATCAAATGTAAATCTCTTCCCATATCAGTCCAAATTTCATTTCATTATTATATCCATTAAAATATTCGCATAGATAGAAAGTGTCACCTGCCCAATTATCTATTTTGGACGTGGTGCCCATAGATTCAATACTGTCCAAGGTTGGATCCATTTGAGTTCGTCGGATCACTTGTTGACCCCACATCCTCATACATCTCCCTTATCCAAATCACAACCTCCACCTCATCATCACATGGTTTTTTTTTCTAGTTGATACATCAGCTACTATCGACACCGAGTCTTTTGTGATCTTCAATCTAAGATCACAGATAATACTACTAGATCAACTCATCTTTCACTTAATTAAACATACAATATAGGATCTTAATTACTTTTCGTATATCATATGATCAGTTACTATCGAAATTGAACCTTCTTAAGATCTTCAACCTAAGATCAGCGCGATAGGACCATTAGATCAATCTCACGTTCATTAGTTCGGAATGTACAACAATACAAACACACCAAGGATCTTACTTTTCATATATCGTAGGATCACAACAAGATGTTCTCTCGCACACACAAGACCCTTAAAAGTAGTAACGGCAGTAGTACAACACTAGTGGTGGTTGGTTATGGGAAAGCATTTCAAAGCAAACCATCAGAAAACGGATGCAGCAGCAGCACCCCACAAAAGACAAAACGACAATATTTACATATAGCAGTACTGGACAGGATCTCAGTTAACGTTTCTCATCCATTCATATCAGCTCATCATAGTAGTAGTAATCTTGCCACCTCGACACGTCAATTCCTCAACATCGTCATCTTTCATCATCTAGCGATGCTTGCTCCTCGTGTCCTCGCTGTAAAGCCTGCCCGCCACAGTTTCATCAACGAAACATAAATGAAAATTGCAGTGCTTATCAACGAAGTCACGAGACTTTGGACGGTTTGGACAAAAGACTTCTCGGTTACAGAAAGTTTCGATACCATATTAAAAATCATGTTGGTTCAATAATTAACTCGTTTTATTGATCATGTTGGTCCAATAATTAACTCGTTTTATTGGGAAAGATTCTGACGACGAATTCGAGCGTACCAGTCATAGATGGTGGGAGAGTTGGGCTGAGAGGGCTTGTCGTAGAGCTCATGAGCGCCGATGGACCTGGTGGCGAGGTTGCTCCCGGGATGGAACACGCTCCTCCACACGTTCTCCTTCGGGAGAGTACTTCCCGGCGTGCCGGGAGTCACCGGCGTCGACGGGCTCGCCGGCATGGACAGCGACTTCTGGAACTTGGTGGTGGTGCTCGCCCCTTCTCCATCTACAACAACAACAACAACGACAACGGTAATCTATCTGGATGCATACATAGAGGAAAACATATGTATGGTTTTTTTAGTTATTTACCGACGTTGAGGGGTTTGATTCTCCGGAGCCGGCCGAGGCCGCGCTCCGGCTGAGGTCCGGCCAGGACGTCGTCCCACATATTATCCAGCAGAACCATGGCTCCTGATCTCTTCTTCTTTCCTTTGTTTAGTGTCTTGAGTGTGGTGGACTGATGGCTGAGTGGGTTCTGGGGGTGAAATATATAGAGGCTTTTGGGCTTTGGGGAGCTGAAATATCTGTCAAGGGGACAGTTAAAATAAGACCATTATACTGTAAACTATTTTACAGCGGGTGAAAAAAATGGGAAATGGGGGAAGGATCAAGGATGGATAAGGATGAAAGGACGTGGGGGAAGGAGATGGGACCCGCGCAATAATATCTCCATCTAATTTCTATCTTGTAGTAGGGTTTGGTGGTTTGCTTGACAAGTGTGAAGTGTTAGCCTAATTATGTGAGTCCGTTTGTCCCATGCTTTGGACAAATCTTGGGGTCTCCACTCTCCACAGGCATTGTGACTGTGATCTCTGACAGGCGGGCTCCACCCCTGATTGATTAAGGTCCCGGAGAGGAGGTAGTGATTGTGTGCGGGGGGTTCTATCCAAGAGCCCACTTTTCTGTTTCTTTGATCGACTAACTCGCAATTGCATTGAGCAATCTGGCTATGGTGCTCACAACTGATAAGTGAGAATGTGGTGTGGAAGATACAATCATTGATTATGCGCTAGACGCTCCACGGTCGTTGGACGAACGCGATAACGATACTACGTTACTAAATACAACAGTCGACAACTAGTCGAATTGTCTATGAAAGAGTGTTTATGAGCGCCAATAAATGACAACCCTATTGTATCTACTGAGGAGTGAAATTACAAGAGGAGTGAACTTGGGTTAGATGGTTTTGTTGAAGACTTCCATGGGTTCACAAGCTAGTAACACTAACAGGCATAGAACTGGAAATTGGGGTAAGATGGGCCCTGCTGAAAAAGCCCATAAGCTGAGGGGCCTTCAGCTGTTGAAAATAAATAACAGGCAACCCACAGCTAGGGCTGCAAATGAGCCAAGCCGCTCGCGAGCAACTCGGCGTTCGAATCGGAAAAAATTCGTTTGACACTCGACTCGTTATTTAACAAGCCGGCTCGCGAGCCAACTCGTTAGTTAACGAGCCAAGCATGAGCTAGACCATGCTCAGCTTGATAAGCTCGCGAGCTAGCTTGATTCGGTGGTTTGTCGAGCTAAGCTCGCGAGCTGCCTTGTTTTGAGCTTGTGGAAGGATGAATTACTCTTTTAAACATGAACATTGTCTTCTAATACAGATGTGTATGAAATTTAGATGTTATTTATAGTTTCTAGTGTTCTTTCTATCATTTAAATTCTTATGTTTATACATTAATCTAGCAAATATAATTTTAAATCGAGCCCATCTCGAGCCGAGCGTGTACTCAGCTTGACAAGCTATGTTAATGAGCATTTATCGAGCTCTACCGAGTCGAGCTCGAGCTAGATTATTTTTATTCAAGCCGAGCTCGAGCTCGAGCTGGATTATCAAAATTCGAGTTCGAGCCGAGCTCGAGCTGAAAAATTAATAAACGAGCCGAGCTCAAGCTAAGCAAGAACTCGACTCGACTCGGCTCGTTTGCAGCCCTACCCACAGCTGCTCAACAATCCTTCTGCCCGCTACCAATGTACATACGCTTCATCACCCAAACACACTGCGGAAAGCAAAATCGACATATCGTTGTCTGTGCCTCACGAACGAAACCCACCTCTTATTTGCATACCAGATCTGCACGATCCGACCTGCTCCGAGCGTCCTGCGCTAATATCACACACTATACTATCAATGTGGGTCTCCCCTCCTTACCCTGTTTCTAACTCGCGTACTATCTCGAATCTCCTTCGAGAAATACGTACTACGTAACGTTTGCTTCTAATCAAAACACCAAATTAACCTGCCCATACCCCATGTCTAACAAACCAGTACTGTCTCACGTCACGATGGAGTATTATTGATATTGCGATACCCGACCTGCCTCACCTAGTAAATAGCCAGAGAGTGGTCTAGTACCGTGTAGGATTATTGTTGTCACACTTTGTGGAATTGCATGCCCCTATGTGCCGACCCTAAACTAAAGCCAGAGTACAAAGTACAACCTCTCTCTCGAAGCAAAAGTAGGCATCAACCAACGATCAAGCTAGCGCCTCGACATTTGTCATCGTTTCCACAGCAAAGCCACAACCAAGTCTTCCCCAGCCAGCAAGACCAGACAAACCTATGCACATCCACACGAACAACAACAGAATGCGACTTTTACCTTCTGCGTGAATTATTCCTTCCCCCATTTCCTCATAGGGAGATTCACCGTCGTAGTTTCCGAGGTAGATTCTAAATATTATTCTACTACGAGTCTAGTAAATCATTAATATCCCAAGATATCGGCATCGGGCACCAGAAGACAAAAGCTCTGCTCCACGGCCTCGAATTTCCGATGATCCCAATCAGGCCTGACGCCTTGTCTTCTTTCCTTGAGAAGCAAGGGATGGCGACGCACATAATCAGACGAGAAGACCCAGTTCCGAAAAATGCTCTGACTCGGCTATAGAACAAACAGGCAGCACGTACAATGGAGAACTGAAAGCTTTTACCTTCATCTCTATATATACGTGTGTGTAAAGAGCTGGCTTGCAACAGAGGAAGAAGAAAAAGCAATGGCCCCGCTGTGGCGAAACAAGGTGGCTCTGGATGCTGCGGCGGATATGGAGTCAGGGGATTCTCTCTCGTTTGCTGGCCTGCTGTCGATTCAAGATCAGCAACCTGGAAATCAAGATTGTCAAATGACCAAGAAGAAGAAGAAGCAGGATGATGAAGAGTTTGAGTTCAGTTGTACCGTGGGGGAGCCAGCAGGTAGCGGCCGCCTGCTGCCTCTCTTTGGGGTGTCCATCTCAGCTGGGAATGGGACAGAGAAGACTGCTTCCGTCGACATAGTTCTCATCTGCAGTGAGAAAAAACAGCCAGCTCGGAGCAACACCGTCGATGGAAGGAAAGCCGGGGAGAAGAAGAAGAAGAAGATGAAGAACAAGCGGTCATTCGGAGGGAGAATGTTCCGATCCTTCTTTTCCCCCTGCAAGGAATGCCGTGCACAGAACTCCATCGTCAAAGTTGCAGTAAGCTGAGAACATCATGTTCGTATTAACTTCATCACATGGTTTTATATACACAGGGTTTAGATTTTAGGTACTACAGGGCGTAGAAGATTTTAGCAGAATCAAGCTCTCGAGCTAAGCCCTTTACTGTTTTTTTCTTGAAATGAAGCGTGCTGAAAGTAATGAACCTGCAATCTTCTAGTTCCAATAAGCCAGCACGCAAGTGTGTCGTAGTTAGAGATGGCTGCTCAATGATCCACCGAACATTTTCAGCTGCTTTCTGGAAGATTCTGAAATTCTCCACCAGATTCAATACCAGAACATTTATGAAATTTCTGATACTGACTCTGATGCAATAGAGTACAGAGGAATCCCATCAGCCAGCTTCTTTTATCCGAATCACCAACCTACAAGAGAAGCACAAAGTTGTTACTGCAAGTGCACAACGCTACACGTCAACTAAAGCCAACTTCCAAGCATCACATACTAACCAGATCAATAGTCAGCGGATTTGTAAGGCAATTCTTAATTAGGTTTTTGATCCAACTCGGCATAGTGGCAGAGAACAACATGGTCTGGCGCTTAGGAGGCAACTCCTTGAAGATTGTTTCAAATCACTTTCAATGTCATCAACAAAACCAACTGCAAGCATCTGGTATGCTTCATCAATAACAACAAACTGGACCTCCGACAAAATCTGTGATCTGTAGCCTTTAATATCCAAAGAAAATGACCTTTCGTCGCCCAAAAAATTACGGAAATGCCACCCGAAAATAAATTGGCCTAAATCGGTGATTAATGGGCTTATCATCGCTAGAGAATAGGATCAATAGACTTCATTATCAATGGAGAATGACCCCGACCGGATTCTGTGAACTATAGCCTCCAGAATGGAAAGAAAATGGCGTTTCGGAAAAAACGCCCGAAATCTGTGATGGTACCCCTTTGGAATCTGCCAAAAATTGACCCGAAATAAATCCGCCCATATCAGTGCTTAATAGACTTAATCATCGTTGAAGAATAGCCTCAGGCCGAATCCGTGATATGTAGCCTTCAATATCCAAAGAAAATGGCCTTTCGTCGCCCAAAAAATTACGAAAATGACATCCGAAAAATAAATTGACCCAAATCGGTGCTTAATGGGCTTATCGTCCTGGGAGAATAGGATAAATAGACTTCATTATCAGTAGAGAATAGCCTCGGCTTGATTCCGTGATCTGTAGCCTCCAAAATCGGAAGAAAATGACATTTCGGGAAAATTGCCCGAAATCTATGATGGTACCACTTTGGAATCTGCCAAAAATTGACCCGGAATAAATCCGCCCAAATCGGTGCTTAATGGACTTAATCATCGTTGAAGAATAGCCATAGGCCGAATCCGTGATCTGTAGCCTTCAATATCCAAAGAAAATGGTCTTTCGTCGCCCAAAAAATTACGAAAATGCCATCAGAAAATAAATTGGCCCAAATCGGTGCTTAATTGGCTTATCATCCCTGGAGAATAGGATCAATAGACTTCATTATCGGTGGAGAATAGCCCCTACAGGATTTCGTGATCTGTAGCCTCCATAATCGAAAGAAAATGGCTTTTCGGAAAAAATGCCCGAAATTTGTGATGGTACCTCTTTGGAATCTGCCAAAAATTGACACGGAAGAAATCCGCCCAAATCGGTGCTTAATGGACTTAATCATCATTGAAGAATAGCCTCAAGCCGAATCCGTGATCTGTAGCCTTCAATATCCAAAGAAAATGGCATTTCGTCGCCCAAAAAATTACGAAAATGCCATACGAAAATAAATTGGCCTAAATCGGTGCTTAATGGGCTTATCATCCCTGGAGAATAGGATGAATAGACTTCACTATCTGTGGAGAATAGCCTCGGCCTGATTTCGTGATATGTAGCCTCCAGAATCGAAAGAAAATGGCATTTCGAAAAAATCGCCGGAAATGTGTGATGGTACTCCTTTTAATCTGCTAAAATTGACCCGGAATAAATCCACCAAAATCGGTGATTAATGGATTTAATCATCGTTGAAGAATAGCCTCAGGCCGAATCCGTGATCTGTAGCCTGCAATATCCAAAGAAAATGGTCTTTCGTCGCCCAACAAAATACCAAAATGCCATCCAAAAATAAATTGGCTTAAATCAGTTCTTAATGGGCTGAAGATCTCTGGAGAATAGGATCAATAGACTTCATTATCAGTGGAGAATAGCCTCGGCCTGATTCCGTGATTTGTAGCCTCTTGAATCGAAAGAAAAG